AAATCACATAACCATGAATCTTAAACAAAACGACACCCAATCCCTGGGCAGGCATCCAGACCGCAAAACAAACCAAATCTAAAATATTCATATCGAAACATACAATAAATCAATTAAAACCCTAAATACCAAAAACACTGTACACAACGAATAAAGGTAAAACAATACAAAAGCAGATAAGATACACAATACACAACCCAGGAGACGAGAAGTGGCACGAAACAAATCCAGGTAGATTGAAAACAAGAAAGAGAAAACAGATCAGGCAAAAGAAAGAACAAATCAGAGATGAGATCAGGAAAATTGAGAAAGGATACGATCCGCAGGAGGTGCAACGGTTGCCATGAGCAGATTAGTAGATCCTTCTCGGATAAGATCAAGAACAAGCGAAGACCCAAGGGAGAGAGAGAGAGAGAGAAAGAGAGAGAGAGAGACCCTAAATCGAATTGGGTGGGTAAGAAATTGGGAGAGGGAAAAGAAAAAAGAGAGAGAGAAAAAGAAAGAGAAGGGAGCGGGAGGATTTGGGTCTTCACTCTTCTTCTTCACTCTTCGCAGCCGCCAAGAGAAGAGAAGGGTTTTGGTTTTGGGGGAAGAGAAAAAGGGTTTTGTTTTCGCTCACGAGACGATTCAAATACCTCCACGGCTCCTCCTCCTCCTCCTCTCTCTGTGTTTTTCCATTTATTATTTAATATTTAATTTATTCAATTACTTACCGCTTAAGGATTTTTCAATAAATATTTTTTCCAATAATAATTATTACGTGTGATATCCACAAATATTTAATAATTAAATAAAATATTAAAAAAAAAAATCTTCTTGTTTGGGTATTTAATTATTTTTTATAGAAAATTTATTTAATAATAATATTTTTATTAAGTGGGTTTTAAAATAAGCTATTTGATTATCGTGACCAAATACATTGTAACTTTCTATACTTATAAACACTATAATAATTTATGATTAATTTTTATCCTAAAGTTTTGCCCCCTATATTAATTTTTACTATAATGATTATTATAATATAGTACAATTTCCTTTTATATTTATATATTTTTTTAAATTGTATCATTAATTCCACAATGGTCGATAACACACATATATATATATATTTGTTGATTTCATTTATATCTCAATTTTAATTAGTTTTTTTAATAATTAATATTAATGTTTTTTAAGTATAAACATATATCTCATTATATTAAAATCAGGTTTGTAAATTTAATTTTTTTATTAAAAAAAAACATGAAAATACAATAATAATTTACTACAAATTTGTGCCTTTTTATTATTATTTTTAATTTCACTATTCATTTTATTGGCAAAAATCAACAATTTTTTAAATAAAAAAAAAAATCCAATAACATTAAGCTTACTATGAATATTGATGAGCGTGTATTGATGATGAGAGGCTTGTGTGTTAATGACTTTGTCGAACATCAATATACATATACATATACATATACATATATAGGTATCGTGTTGAGTATTTAAATACATGGGAAAGTGGAGAAGAGATATGAACATACTTCACAATACATAACAAAAATAAATAACTTGCCCTTAATCCAATTATGACATATTTTATGTTGATTTACAAAATTCTTTTTATATTATAAACATTTTTAAATTCATAATATATTTAAATATTATATTATATCGAAATTATAATAATATATTAAAAAGAGGTATATAGTTTTGATATAAAAAAAATATGCATCTCTATAGTGAAGCTTTCATCACGAATCATGAATGACATCTGCTTATTGATTCTCACTACTCTATAAATGATTCGGTTCTATTTAGAATATCAGTATACAAGTAACGAAGTGTTTATTATCTCAGTGTTAGATGACTCAGTTAAACCGTTTTAAATGAGGTAGAAACCTCATTTCTAATTAGTTTAGGCTTAAGACAAATGGATCCATTTGGAACAAACTAGATAATGCAATAATCAAGTCTAATTAGAGATTGTCGAGTAAATAAGTATCTGGTTTAATAATATATATATAGATATCAATTACATTATGGTTAATGAGTATCATGGTATTTATCAGAATTTTAAGCTTGTTTGGAATGTCGATATTAATAAGCTCTTAGTCGACATCAACTTCATATATGTCATACAACTCTTCGCGCGTAATCTTAACAAATATCACCTGATGACTCAGTTAAGCCATTTTAAATGAGGTAGAAACTTCCATTCTAACTAGTTTACGCTTAAGACAAATGAATCTATTTGGAGCAAACTAGATAATGCAATGATCAGGTCTAATTAGAGATTGTCGGGCAAATAAGTATCTGGTTTAATAATATATATATATCAAGTACATGATGGCTAATGAATATTATGGTATTTATCAGAATTTTAAACTTATTTGGAATGTCGATATTAATAAGCTCTTAGTCGATACATCAACTCCATATATGCCATACAACTCTTCGCGCATAATCTTAACAAATATCACATTCTTATCAATTATGAAGAGCATAGTAAAATTATCATATGATACGATTAAGGGAGATCTAATTTTCTGATATTTTTCCGTACCAACTAGTTCGTACATTGGATTTGTGATATTTTCGTGAGCGCCACATGATTTTTCATGCTATCATTATCTATTTATGTATTTGAACCATTATAATATAGTTAGATATACATTTGAGGTGAAAATAAGTTTCTTGTGGTTTGTGTTGTATTTGTTTTTATTTTCAATTCATTTAAACTAAACAATTAAATGATTTTTTTTTTTTGGCTAAAAAATGACAGCTATATATACATATGTATATATGTATATAAAGCATTTGAAAGGTTCTAAGAGATACATATAAAGCACAAAAACATTATAAACATGAAGACATGTTTAAAATGTATAAAAATATATTCTTTAAAAAAAAACAGAAAAAGAAAGAGAAAGTGAGTAATCTGAGAATTGGGCTTTTTTAAGAGCTTCTCATTCATGGGCCATCATCTTTTTCTTTTTTCTTCTTAAAAAAATTAATTCTCATTTTAGAACTTGGATCCAAGATTATTAAATTTTTTGTTTGTTTTTGTATTGATCGAATTGGGGAAATGAGAAAATCAAAACGCAGAGAATAGTTGGTGGTGATGGACGTTAATGGCGTCGCCGAGAAACACAACCAGTGGACTTCTGACCCCATGCAATCCATCAGACCAAACAATCTCCCCAAATTCATACCGCCTTCCGCTCTCCTTCACCGGCGTCAACGTCACGTAGTAACAAATCTCCGCCGTCAACGGCGAGAATATCAAGACCCTCGGCCAGACCATCACCTCCACTCCTTTAGGCTCCACAACACTGCTCAAGAAATACACGGCATATCTATTCCTTCCCACGTTACGCGCAGTCCTTTTGATAGTTGCTGCGGACTGGAGGTTGAAGACGGTGATGGAAGGGTAATTCAGGTTCATCATCTGCTCCTCATGTTTTCTTCCACATTTTACGTTGGTTCCTGGAAGAATAATCATTTTGGCGATCTGGGTTTTGTTGTACCCGATGTTGCAGAGAAGCTGAATGTAGTCGCTGGCTTTCATGTCGTATATAAGCCCTGGATCCATGGCTTTCATGGGGTTTAAATGGCCGGCTCCGACGTCGAATGGGTCGCTGACTTTCATTGATCCATCAGCCAATATTCTCTCGTCGCTTCTATCTTTACTGTCCGCTGATCATCATTTGATTCGTTCATCAGTTGATTGCATACACGTATATGTAAGAAACTAATATGTACATAATTAATATTACCGGTGGTGATTAGAGCCGATCTAATGGCGGCGGGAGACCAGGTTGGATAACGCGATCGGAGGAGAGCAACGACGCCGGAAACATGAGGACAGGCCATTGAAGTTCCAGACAGGAAATTCCAATTCACAGAACGACGGTCGCCTGGGAAAAAGGTTGGAGGAGTTTTTGAAGGCCATGCTCCCAATATATTCACTCCCGGTGCAGTAATGTCCGGCTGTGTATATATTATTTAATCAATGAATTATTCTTCATTAATTACTTAAAACGTAATTAATTAATTAATTAAGTAATTAACCTTGAGAAAATCAGGTGCTAGTGAACTGGGTCCTCTTGAAGAGAAATATGCAACCTCCGGCGCTGGTAATTTTCCGATTAGGGTTCTGCTTGGTTCTATCCTCACCATTGGAAGCCTAATTTCATTCTCCAGGTCAAATATATCTCTTTTTTCGGTCAATCAAATTCAACTCAAAACCCTAATTAATTAACGAAATTAAAAAGGGTAATTGCAGTTACTTGATAAATCGGGAAAGATAATTGCGGAGTCTGGTGCCTTGATCCATATCGAGTCGAACAGTGGGGATGATATCTAAATCAGCATATTGTTTTGTGGGATCGTCAACGTAAACCAACACAGATGCTCTTATATCATATAATGCTTCTTGTGCATCGCCATCTTCGACTTTTCCTCTGCTAGAAAAACATATCACCACCTTTCCTTCTATACTTATATCTGGGTCCTTCAAGCTCTCTGTCCTGCAACTCCTGCATTGTATATATGTACGTATAAATGTAAATTCTGTATAAATAAGATGGGAGAAATTAAGAAAGAGATATAGGAGTAACAGTGGACACACACCCATCAAAAAAGTACTTGGATGCATCCGCCAATTTAGTTCCTGTAATCTTATTGGTAATGAAGCTTTCTCCCTGTAAAAATTTACGACCCACAAGATTAATTAATTTATTAATCAAAATCTAACGTTAAGAACAATGATATATATATATATATATAACTTTTCTAGGATGTTACATGTATATGATCTTCTCTAATCAATCATCGTACTTATAACTTTTCTAGGATCTTCATTAATCATAATTCCTTGATTAATAGGGTGATCATTGGCATAATTAAATCTAGGGCTCGTGCTTCTCCTTTTATATATATAAGCATGCAGAACAAAAAGCCTAAACGGAAGGGACAAGATACGACGTGCTCACGATTATATATCTTGTAACTCCGACATATGCATTCATACGTTGCAAGATGAAAAGCAAAACGTAAAAGGCTATCTCTATATTATTATTTTCTATAATGTATATATATATATACAGAACTTGCATCAATTATCATCCAGGTATAAGTTAATTACCATAATAGAGAAAGTTTCGTTGACAATAATCCGAGTAGGAAAATTCCGATCAATAGTAGAAGCAGCTACAGAAATTGACCATGGCGCAACATTTTCAACCCGACCCGGATGAGGTCCACTATTCCCAGCCGAGAAAACCACACTAACACCCAACTGCATTGCATGAAACGCTCCGATATCCGCCGAAGACTCCAAGAACCTCGTCAACGGCGGCGGATACCCAAAAGAAGCGGAGATAACATGAACTCCGTCATGCAAAGCGTCGTCGAAGGCTGCAAGAATGTCAGCCTCAGAACACCGAGAACCATTGTTTAAACCCCAGCACATCTTGTAAACGGCAAGGCGAGCTCTTGGTGCGCCACCTCGAGCCGTGCCTTGACCCAACCCAAAGAAGCTGGCGTTTCTGACTACAGAACCTACGGCTATGGAGGCAACATGGGTGCCGTGACCGAGGTAGTCTCTCGGAGATTTGTACTCCGGGTTGCCGGTTTGGCTGAGTGGGCCGTACTCTGCTTCGAAGCCTTGGAGATAGTAGCGTGCGCCGATAAGCTTCTGGTTGCAGGCGGTTGATGGTTTGAAGTTTTCTCCTTGCACACATTTTCCTTTCCAACAAGATGGAATTCGACCTGTTCCTGGTTCTTCTTTGAAACTTTCTGATTCAGGCCATATCCCTGCATGCACCCACTTTAATTCATTCATTGAATTCCATCTTTCATATATTAAGAGGTGGTTGAAAGAGGAAGGAACCTGAATCCAGTATGCCGATAATAACATCATCACCATGAGTGAGGTGAAACAATGGATCAGGGACTTGATGATCACGACGACGATGACGGTAGGGAACTAGAGGAAGTGCCATGAAGTCCCAGCTTCTTGTCGTATGCAGCTTCACTGTCCGGCTTTTGAATACTGATATCACTTCTTCCATATCTGCACCCGTTAATTATATGGGGCTATATAATTATTATTTTTTTATTTAGTTGTCTGATTGCTCGCATACACGCATATTTATGTATAACATATTGATCGTGTATATACACACACACACACATATATATATATATATTCTTGATCGAATTATTATTTACTTGCTAAGGTGGCTGCTTGGGTAGCATTGAGCTTTGCCGAAAAGCCGGAGAACCCATGCTTGTAGCTGTAAAGAATGGAGTCTTCCGCTACTTCTTTGCTGAAAACAAATCATATAATACGTATATACATACTCATTATATATATTATATGTATACTTGCGTGATATTTGGTTATGTATATGCATATATAAACATATAATACGTGAAACCTTGGAAAGACATTAGAAAGGAGTTGAAGCTGAGAGTGTGAAGTGAGAAGAGGATCATGGCCCTGGCTGACACCCCCTAAATACACTATGTAAACCTGCATATGTATGAATCAAGAAGATGATCATCATTGTCATCAAATTAACCTTCATCTTCACATGCAAAAGGATTTATATATATATACATATATACATATATATTTTTACATTAGATTTTATTGATTGGGAGTACTGAAAGCAGAAAAGCGAAAGGGCAAGAAGAGAAGAGAGGCCCCAGAGGCACTGAGGAAGAAGGATAGGCATAGTGCCTTTGTCTCTGCTATGAGAAGTAAACGTAGCTGCTTGGGAATGGATATATATATACTACCAAATATATATGTATATAAATATATATACACTCAAACTACTGCACAGTACTAGTACTAGTGTAGTAAATAGCTAGTAATACTAGGTAGTATTACTCCTGCGTGCTTTCTAAGTATTTCGTGCCTGCAACAACACTCACACTACCTTCTCATGCTTTCTCTCCATCATTACATTTTTCCTTCAAAGCTAGCTTGCTACTTTCATATATATATACACACACACACACACACAGAGACACATATATACTCACTTTCAGTATACCTTTAGCTTTTGTATAACATATATATACCAAAGACATATTACTCGTAGTTTTTCTTTTCTTTCTGATTTTGAATTAAAGTTTACAATTGAAACTACTTTAATTGCAATTATATATGCAGAATATGCGTTATACATATTTTAACTATATGTATAGGGTGCTCTATAAACCCAACATTAAGCAAATATATGTGCATGCATCGTAACAACTAGCTATTGCTTTAAAGAATAGCAATATCTAGATTCCCACACATGAACAAACCTAATACACATGTATATAAGATATATGTCTATATATATATATATATGCAGCATATATGCATTAACATGAGAGGCCAACCTCCATGGATGAAGGAATCAACCCAAACATCATAGCTAGCCATGATAACCCAATGCATGACCATTACTTGTACAAGTTCCCTAGCATGAGTAATATCAATTTAACTTTATAATTGGGTAATATATCATATATATATATCATATAAACTATTATTTAGTTAAATTATTAGTGTCATATACATATAAAATGTATATATGTTCAACCATATTATCTTACTAGTATTGGGTTACCATCAAATTATGAATATATACATAGATTACTAGGAATACATTTAAATGTGTTTATAACTTTTTCATAGTTAAATATACATTTAGAGGACTCGTATATGTATGTATGTATATATATATATGTATATATGTATATATGTATATTTAAATACCCAAAAAAGGTCTTGATTAGGGTAATTATATGATATAGAATAGCTTTATAGGCTGTATAGCTATCTAGAGATTGGAGGAATATATGAATGAAATGGTCATGTGCATTCATTTTGACTTTTTGATATGTATGTAGTTTAAGATACAAGATCCTTAAACGTCGCCGTTTGTTTCCTCCCAATTTTAATTTCTTACCTTCAAATTCTTCTAACCCTAATTACTAATCATTTAAAAGTTTCACATAATTTATATACAATTTTTCATAGTAACGCTCATATAGTAGTTCATAGAAAAAAAAAACACACACACACATATATATATATATATAGTATACATACATATATATATATATAGCAAATACAACCTTACCTTAATTGAATTGGGCCGGATGAGAAATATTTAATGGGTCAACACTCTGAATTAGGGGATTGATCGAATCCAATTTGTACTTGCTAGCTTTTTCTCTTTGTATATATATATATACATATACAGACACATATTATGTATATATATATATGCTATTAAAGATATTATAAATTAACAAGACTTATAATACTTTATAAGAATATGTATGTATATATATATATATATGTAATATGATGTGATGATATATAATGAATTAGTATATTGGTTACTAATCAAATTAATCACTAGTTAATCTCTAATTGCATGGTAATCATTTTCACCCACCAGACTATATCAAATTCCACTAACATTATATATATACACACACACACACAAGAGATATGATGGTATAGATCAGTAGCTTATGATTAGTAAGTACTATCCATGTATACATATATATATATATATATATATAATATCACGTGTAGTGTACTTTACCTGCATGATCATTCTCCATGACTCATTACATGATCCATATTATATACGCATATATACATGTGTGTGTGTGTGTGTATTCACGCAGGCCCATAAGTTTATATAGGCGCTACATTATATCTGGACTTCTTAGTTTAGGTCCTCGTTTCTTCGGCCCTCTATGCATATATATATATATATATATATATATGCATGTAACGTGTAATTCTTCATTTTGCAGCAAATTACAGCTTCGACATCTTTCTCTCAGAAAATGACACAGACAGATTACCTTCGTGTGTGCATATACATATATATATATATATATGTATATGTATATAGTTATGATAAAGTACGTGCATGGGACACTAAGTGATCTTGTGTTAACTTAAGTATCTTTTGCATTTTACGATTAACACTAATTAAAACTCAAAGCATTAATCCATATTTAAACGTACTAAGATATACTTATATTTTACTAACTAACGTAATATTATAAATATTATATATATATATATATATATACACATTCATCTGCCTACCAATCTTGAATTACATATAGTCAGCATAGGTGTATAGCTCATAGCTGTATAAGTGTTACGTACTCAAAAGTAACCTCAAATTTTCAAACATGGTTTCCATTATAAAGTCACTTCAATAAATTTATATATAGCTTGATGTGATAACAATTACACCAAACCATTATATACATATACATATATATATATATATTATACGCCTAAAATTTTTAATTTCCAATTATTGTATTTCCCCATTATCTAGATATTTGTGTATAGAGATTATTATTATTTTTTTTTTAAAGAAATGGAGGTTGGTAGGTAAGGTGGTGGGTGTAAGTATACAACTACAAGTAATTTGGAATTAGTAAATATATAGTGTGAAGAGTTTTGGTTGTTTGGATGAGTGGAAAAAAACAGAAGAAAATGAGAGAAAATTGCAAGCACACGCAAAGCATAACGACAGTGATTGGATAAAAGGTGATGGTGGGGATCAAAATGCGCCACTAAAATAAATAAACCACAATTTTTTTTTTTTTAAAAAAATATTATTTTAGCGTATGATAACAATTTTTATTAATTTTACAATATCAAAGGTTAAATTTATATTATGTATTACTCGATATAAATAGATTCATGGATAATGCAAATGCCGATTTTAATTTCATATGTAAGTTAAATTACTAACAGGTATTTTACATCTTCTTATTTATATCGTTTCTGAACTAAAAAATTTAAATTTAAAATTAATTCTCCTACTTCTTTCAGAGTAAGTGGTAACTCTGAAAATATTTTAAATTATTTTTGGTAAAGTCTTTTTTTTTTCGCATCACATAATCAATATTGCGACACTATTGTTAGAACTCATATTAGTTATATTTAACATAAATTATTTGAAAATTACTGTAAGGTAGATTGTGTTGGAGAATTAGAAATGAAAATAACATATGAATTTGAGAAGATACGTGACAACCTAAAAAAGTATGGACTCCTAAGCCACCTAATACAACTATCACCGTGGTGTATGAGTTGATGTTTAACTCGCCAATATGGAATGCAAGATAAGGTGCGGATCCTTTTCTTACCACGTGATGCCAAGGAATTTCTCAGTGCACTTCTGAGTTGTAGACTCTCCTTTGATAAACCCATTCGAGTATTTGAACAAAATAGCTCACACTCGCTTAAAACGAGCTACCATGTGGCTTATTGTTAAAGTGCAGCATCTCATCCAAGGGCCATTAGTATTTGCTCGATAATGAGATGACAAAAGTTATGTCTTGTTAATACTATTACAAGGGCAAAACATCTAGTATTGAGATTAATTTGTTATATTTTACCATTAAGAATCCATTTAGCTAAGAGGTATGTTGATAGAGATCATAAGATCCCAACGACAACCCAAAAAGGAATCCCCAGAAAACAGTCAACACTCCAGGATCAACCCCCATGATTCACGCTCAACTTCTGCGCTCCTAACCTCCATGATCTCTAACCAACATCTGCACTCCGCATGATCCCACAATCTCTGCCCAGCTTCTGCACTCCGCATGATCCCCGCAACACACCAGCCCAATCACTTATTCTTTCACATGTTTAATTTTTTTCTGCTATTTAAACTACCAGAAGCACGAGTAAAGGGGAAGAGAACATTTCTGCAAAATTACATGCGGTCATTCTCGCCTAAAAGAGAAAAGTCTATGAAAATTCTTAACAATTTTAACCAGGACCTATCAATTAGTATCAGGGTCATGTCTAATAAGGAGAGAATTGAACAACTCGAAACAAGCGTTGGGGGGCTGCAAGATAGCTTTAGCAGAATGGAGCTGGGAATCGTAGATAAGTTGCACCAAATAGAGAACACCCTCAAACTGTTGATTGAGACGTTGCTAGCCAACCGAGAGGATTACAACAGTAACACCCCAGTTCGAGCAGGGCCGACACAACCATCTCATGATGAAGGACACGAAAGAAATGAAGGTAATCATCCCCCCTTCTACCCTTGACTTGCCAAACTATAATTTTTAATTTTTGTAAGGAACGATTCGACCGAATGGATCAGCAGGGTGGAACAATTTTTGATTACCATGCCACCGCTGACGAATAGAAAATGCAACTAGCTTCTTTCCACTTAGAAGACGAAGCCAACTAGTAGTGGCAATGACTTTACCGAACTTATCAGAGGAGGGGAAGTTGGTGACATGGACCAATTTGTAGAAGACTTTGGGACCGCTTTGGG